GTGAATCAGTGAATGTTTTAAAGTGATGTTACTTTTCTTTCAAAATATATAAATACTTTCATATGCATGGTCTAGACACAGGTTCAAATAATGTTTCGCATTCACTACTGTATTTGAGTTACTTTGGCTTTAAAGAGTATGACTTTTACTGTCAAATAACTTGCAATACCAGAGATAAATTAGTCTCAGAAGCGAGTTCAAGGAGAACTGATGCTGCTCAGTGGTAAGCAGGGCAATCTAAGATTTTACATTCATACATTTTTTATATATATATTATACGTGACTATGAGCTGATTAGTTTGGACAGGTATCAACAGGAATGCTGTTGATCAAAGAACCAGTCTTTGTGTTTTGACCTAGATTTCACCTTGTATAGATAATCTTGCTCTTTCTCATGAGATGTATACTTTATATTAATTGAATAATATAGCACTTGGCACTCAGGATGGTTCTGCTTGCCCATGTGACCCATGAAATCTGTAACTGTATGCTGGCATGTTTACATATCATTATAAGATGAAAAAACAAATACTCCGGGTGTAGATCTGCTGGGTTTCCTGTATGGAGGGTAGCTGCTAGCAATATTCCTGACTTAAGCCTCATTTCCTCTTTTATATTCTGAAAGAATGGAATGTCAGCAAAGACTTCTACGTGAGAGTGTACAGTGAGGTGAAAAGTGCATGTTTAAGTATGCATCTTCTATTTCGTTACAAAACAAAACAGCCACAATAAATACATAAAGTGATAGTTTTCCCAAGCTACTAACCTACATAAATTGGGATAGGTAGACAGCTTATATGTCTGAATTTAGGACGGTGGTTACACAGAGGGTATACCAGGCTGATTGAGACAGATTTATTATTAAAGAGTAACTCCATGTTAAAAAAAAAAACATTCCCCTCTGGGTGATCTATGCACATTGCAATGATTTTAACAGACTGTGTTGCAGATTCCTACCTTTTGTTAGTCTAAAGAAATAGCTGTTTGTTTGTCTGTGTCCATGTGCATAGCGAATGTGAATGGGACTAACTTTATAATTATCAATTAGCTGTTGCACTTGCTAGGTTCTAATAAGGAAAGTGGCAAGGTCTTGATCCTTTAGAATATCCTTTTGGAGTATCTCATCAAAAGTGACATTTTCATTGCTGGGGATGCCCAAAATCTGACTTGTGTCTTAGTGCAGACTTCTGGGAAAATCAGTAAGCCAATCAGACAAGCAGGAAATTACATTTTTGGGGGGCAGTCTATACACCATATAGAATGCCTCCAGGTTGCCATATTGCATTGCATTTTACAGAAAGTTACAGCGCTGTAGATTGGAAAGGAAAGGGAATTTTTAATAGCATTCAATTACAATATGACTTGTGTAGCAATTGTATATGCTGTAATACTTTTATATACTATTTTTCCCATAAAAGCGGAGATACTCTTTTAGGCACAGCTAATGAAGGTCATACATATTTTAAAACATGTATTAAAGCATGTTACATTGGTTTGTTTTAGTTGCGTTGCACCACAGTGTTTTTGTAAGGAATTATTAAATATAGATTAACAAACCTACCATGGTGGATCTGTGCTTCTATTTATTAAGGTAGTTGGGTATGTGCACTCAACTTGAAGACTCCAGCCACCTGACAAGTCTCTATTAGATTACTGGTTGTATGAGTGTTACAGGTGTTAATACCTTGCAAATGCTAAATTGTTTACTGCTTATGACCTGACCATGGGTTATGGGGTATTCAGAAGACTCTCAAAAAGGCAGGGTAAGGACAGTTATTCTAGCTATGGTTGTGGTTTTTCTTCAAGTGTGCTCACAGAGTACCTCTAACTGGCTGTATGTACACTGCTCAAAAAAAATTAAAGGAACACTTGGAAAACACATCAGATCTCAATGGGTAAAAAAAAATCATGCTAGACATCTATACTGATATATGGACTGGGTAACGTGTTAGGAATGTGAGGATGCCCCATCATTTGATGGAAATGAAAATTATCAACCCACAGAGGACTGAATTCAAAGACACCGCAAAAATCAAAGTAGAAAAATTATGCATCAGTCTAGTCAATTTTGCTGAAATTTCTTAGCAGCAACTCAAAATGGTACTCAGTAGTTTGTGTGGCCCCCACATGCTTGTGTGCATGCCTGACAAAGTCGGGGCATGCTCCTGATGAGACGAGGGATGGACCAGGGCATCACTGAGCTCCTGGACAGACTGAGGTGAAACCTGGCTGCGTAGGATGGACCGAAACATGATATCCCAGAGGAATTTTATTGGATTTAGGTCAGGCGAGTGTGGGGGCCATTCAGTGGTATCCATCATCCTACAGGAACTGCCTGCATGCTCTCGCCACATGAGGCCGGGCATTGTGGTGCAGCAGGAGGAACCCAGGACCCACTTTACCAGCGTAGGGTCTGATAATGTGTCCAAGGATTTCATCCTGATACCTAATGGCAGACAGGGTGCCATTGTCTAGCTTGTAGAGGTCTGTGCATTCCTCCATGGATATGCCTCCCCAGACCATCACTGACCAACCACCAAAACAGTCATGCTGAACGATGTTACAGGCAGCATAACGTTCTCCATGGCTTCTCCAGACTCTTTCTGTCAGGGCTCCCAGGTATGACCAGAGGTGTGTGACTGAAGCAGGGAAACGCAGACTTCAGATATGTGATTAACAATGTAATTTATTAACACTAACAATACAAACATAAACGCAGTGCAATACTAAACATAATACAGTGCAAACAAACCCAACCAACCACCCACAGATAACAGTACATACAAGCAAGCGTCGTCAGGCAGGCCGAGTCAATATCAATTGGGCAGGTAGGTACAGGGGGAGCAAGCGGAGAATGGTCGGGGTCACAGGCCAGGTTCAGCAGGTAGCAAGCAGCGTAGTACAGAGGGTCAGGCAGAGGGATGGTCAGGGTCACAAGCCAGGGATCAGAACAGGTAGCAAGCAGCGTAGTACAGAGGGTCAGGCAGAGGGATGGTCAGGGTCACAAGCCAGGGATCAGAACAGGTAGCAAAGGGACAGAAACAGGATGCAGGACAGATACAGGGCCCAGGACAAACACAACACCAAGGCAGAGTCTGCAAGTCTGGCCATCCCTTAAATACACCAGTATCATCAGTTTCAGGTGTTAGCTGGCTGAAAGGTTGAGTCTCTGATTGCTGGGAGCACCCGCTGGCCAGCCCTGGTACTGCAGATCAAAAGGCAGGTGAGTCCCACCATTGCTGGCCAGTCCATTCCTGACAGTACCCCCCCCTCAAGGAGCGGCCTCAGGACGCTCCAAACAGTCCTAGCTGGGAAAAATGTTCCACCGCCCGGGTCTGGTAACTGGCGGGATATCAAAGACTGGCACACCGGGCAGGACTCCGGGCAGCGGTACACCGGGCAGAGGCACATCGGGCTGGACTCCGGGCAGAGGCACATCGGGCTGGACTCCGGGCAGAGGCACATCGGGCTGGACTCCGGGCAGAGGCACATCGGGCTGGACTCCGGGCAGAGGCACATCGGGCTGGACTCCGGGCAGAGGCACATCGGGCTGGACTCCGGGCAGAGGCACATCGGGCTACCAGGCGAAGCGGCAGGCAGTGGGCCACCGGGCGGAGCGGCAGGCACCGGGCCCCCGGGCGGAGCGTCAGGCCTCGGGCCCCCGGGCGGAGCGTCAGGCCTCGAGCCCCCGGGCGGGGCGACAGGCCTCGGGCCCCCGGGGGGCAACAGGCCTCGGGCCCCCGGGCGGGGCGACAGGCCTCAGGCCCCCGGGCGGGGCGACAGGCATCGGGCCCCCGGGCGGGGCGACAGGCATCGGGCCCCCAGGCGGAACTACAGGTCTCGGGCCCTCAGGCGGAACTACAGGTCTCGGGCCCTCAGGCGGAGCGGCGGGTGCCGGACCCCCAGATGGAGCGACAGGCCTCGGGCCCCCAGGCGGGGCGACAGGCATCGGACCCCCAGGCGGGGCGACAGGCATCGGACCCCCAGGCGGGGCGACAGGCATCGGGCCCCAGGCGGGGCGGCGGGCGCCGGACCCCCAGGCGGAACTACAGGCCTCGGGCCCTCAGGCGGAGCGGCGGGCGCCGGACCCCCGGGTGGAGCGACAGGTCTCGTGCCCTCAGGCGGAGCGGCGGGCGCCGGACCCCCAGGTGGAGCGACAGGCATCGGGCCCCCAGGCGGGGCGACAGGCATCGGGCCCCCAGGCGGGGCGACAGGCATCGGGCCCCCAGGCGGGGCGACAGGCATCGGGCCCCCAGGCGGAGCGGCGGGCGCCGGACCCCCAGGCGGAACTACAGGTCTCGGGCCCTCAGGCGGAGCGGCGGGCGCCGGACCCCCGGGTGGAGCGACAGGTCTCGGGCCCTCAGGCGGAGCGGCGGGCGCCGGACCCCCAGGTGGAGCAACAGGTCTCGGGCCCCCAGGCGGAGCGACAGGTCTCGGGCCCTCAGGCGGAGCGGCGGGCGCCGGACCCCCAGGTGGAGCGACAGGTCTCGGGCCCTCAGACGGAGCGGCGGGCGCCGGACCCCCAGGTGGAGCGACAGGTCTCGGGCCCTCAGGCGGAGCGGCGGGCGCCGGACCCCCAGGTGGAGCGACAGGTCTCGGGCCCTCAGGCGGAGCGGCGGGCGCCGGACCCCCAGGCGGTGCGACAGGTCTCGGGCCCTCAGGCGGAGCGACAGGTCTCGGGCCCCCAGGCGGGACGGCGGGCGCCGGACCCCCAGGTGGAGCAGCGGGCGCTGGACCCCCAGGCGGAGCGACAGGTCTCGGGCCCCCAGGCGGAGCAGCGGGCACCGAGTCACCAGGCACGACAGTGGGCTCCGAGTCAACTGGCATGACCGCTGGCACTAGGTCAGACATTGGATCGTCTGGCTGGACAGCGGGCATCGGGTCACCAGGCATCAGGTCATTTGGCTCGACAGCGGGCACCGCGTCATCTGGCAAGGCAGTGGGCTCCGAGTCAACTGGTATGACCGCGGGCACTGGGTCAGACATTGGATCGTCTGACCGGACAGCGGGCATCGGGTCACCAGGCATCAGGTCATTTGGCTCGACCGCGGGCACCGCGTCATCTGGCAAGGCAGGGCAGTGGGCCCGAGTCAACTGGTATGACCGCGGGCACTGGGTCAGACATTGGATCGTCTGACTGGACAGCGGGCATCGGGTCACCAGGCATCAAGTCATTTGGCTTGACAGCGAGCACCGCGTCATCTGGCAAGGCAGTGGATTCCGAGTCAACTGGCATGACCGCGGGCACTGGGGCAGACATTGAATCGTCTGGCTGGACAGCGGGCATCGGGTCACCAGGCATCAGGTCATTTGGCTCGACAGCGGGCACCGCGTCATCTGGCAAGGCAGTGGGCTCCGAGTCAACAGGCACAACAGTGGGCACCGGGGTCATCAGGTACCGGATTGTCTGGCTCGACAGCAGGCATCGGGTCACCAGGTATGACAGCGGGCACTGGGTCACCAGGCATCAGGTCATTTGGCTCGCCAGCGGGCACCGCGTCATCTGGCAAGGCAGTGGGCACCGAGTCACCAGGTACGACAGCGGGCTCTGAGTCAATTGGCACGACAGCGGGCACCGGATCAGGTACCGGATCATCTGGATCAACAGCGGGCATCGAGTCAACTGGCCTAATAGGATCGTCAGGCTGGATCAGTTCATCATGCTGGGTAGAGGCATCAGGCTGAATGCCGGCGTCCGGCTGAGTAGAGGCTTCAGGCCGAGTAGAGGCTTCAGGCCGAGTAGAGGCTTCAGGCCGAGTAGAGGCATCAGGCCGAGTAGAGGCTTCAGGCCGAGTAGAGGCATCAGGCCGAGTAGAGGCTTCAGGCCGAGTAGAGGCTTCAGGCCGAGTAGAGGCATCAGGCCGAGTAGAGGCATCAGGCCGAGTAGAGGCTTCAGGCTGAAGAGAGGCATCAGGCTGCATACAGGCATCAGGCTGAAGAGAGGCATCAGGCTGCATACCGGCATCAGGCTGAAGAGAGGCATCAGGCTGCGTACAGGCATCAGGCCGAGTACAGGCATCAGGCTGAGTAGAGGCTTCAGGCTGAGTAGAGGCTTCAGGCTGAGTAGAGGCTTCAGGCTGAGTTACGGAAGGCAGGCTCACCGGTTTGGATACTGGCAGGATGGTATTGGTTGGAAAGAATTTTCGCTTTTTTCTGGTTTTAACTACTGGAGCACTGCAAGTAAACGCAGGTCTGCAAATGAATGGAGCAGCTGGAGACAGAGAAGAACTGGAGGATGGAACAGGAGAGGGAGCAGTTGCTACAGAGGGCTTTTTTACAGGGTTAAAGGAAGGATAGGTGCAGCGAGTGGGAACAGGGTACTGACATGCGGTAGATAGCCAAGTATACTGGGCTGTAACTGGAGGAGCTGTTGGGAATACAGGAGTAGAGTTAGAAGCAGGACTGGGTTTTTGTAAGCCGACTGAGGCTGGGTGCAACAAGTCTGTCCATGTCTGCAGTATGGGTTGAACAAAGCTGAGCTTACACAAAGCCTGTCTGGTCAATGACTGCACTGCGTTTATACAATCTCTTAGTATCTGTGGTGAACATGTGGAATAACGCTCCAGAAAGTAACCCACATCATCCTCTAATAACCACACCAGGGACTCTACCTGGTCTGCACTAAATGGTGGCAAAAATTCATCCCTGCATTCGGGGGTACCAGATGAAACCAACTCTGCACAAACCTCAATCAAAGGCTGCACCTCAGAGAACTCTGTGCCCTGATCTACTAGAACATGAGCGAGCCGTATACATTCTAGCAGTTCATCCCGGGTATACTCCTTCAGTTTGATAAGCATACTCCCTGTCATCAAACACTAGCAGATATAAATACGCAACCTCATCCAGATCCATCCTTCCCATCAACAAGCCAAGATGGCTTCCCTGTGCAGCCACTTCTGGTCAGGATTGGCCTTGGTGTAATGTCAGGGCTCCCAGGTATGACCAGAGGTGTGTGACTGAAGCAGGGAAACGCAGACTTCAGATATGTGATTAACAATGTAATTTATTAACACTAACAATACAAACATAAACGCAGTGCAATACTAAACATAATACAGTGCAAACAAACCCAACCAACCACCCACAGATAACAGTACATACAAGCAAGCGTCGTCAGGCAGGCCGAGTCAATATCAATTGGGCAGGTAGGTACAGGGGGAGCAAGCGGAGAATGGTCGGGGTCACAGGCCAGGTTCAGCAGGTAGCAAGCAGCGTAGTACAGAGGGTCAGGCAGAGGGATGGTCAGGGTCACAAGCCAGGGATCAGAACAGGTAGCAAGCAGCGTAGTACAGAGGGTCAGGCAGAGGGATGGTCAGGGTCACAAGCCGGGATCAGAACAGGTAGCAAAGGGACAGAAACAGGATGCAGGACAGATACAGGGCCCAGGACAAACACAACACCAAGGCAGAGTCTGCAAGTCTGGCCATCCCTTAAATACACCAGTATCATCAGTTTCAGGTGTTAGCTGGCTGAAAGGTTGAGTCTCTGATTGCTGGGAGCACCCGCTGGCCAGCCCTGGTACTGCAGATCAAAAGGCAGGTGAGTCCCACCATTGCTGGCCAGTCCATTCCTGACACTTTCACGTCTGTCGCATATGCTCAGGGTGAACCTGCTCTCATCTGTGAAAAGCACAGGGCTCCAGTGGTGGAACTGTCAATTCTGGTGTTCAGTGGCAAATACCAATCAAGCTCTAGGGTGCTGGGCACTGAACAGACTTCAAGAGGGCCCTCAGGCTACCCTCTTGAAGTCTGTTTCTGATTGTTTAGTGAGAGACATTCACACCAGTGGCCTGCTAGAGGTCATTTTGTAGAACTCTGCTCATCCTTTTCCTCCTTGCACAAAGAAGCAGATATCAGTCCTGTTGATGGGTTAAGGACTTTCTACAGCCCTGTCCACCTCTCCTAGAGTAACTGCCTGTCTCCTGGAATCTCCTCCATGCTCTTGAGACTGTGCTGGGAGACACAGCAAACCTTCTGACAATGGCACATGTTGATGTGCCATCCTGGAGGAGTTGGGCTGCCTGTGCAAACTCTATAGAGTCCAGGTATCTCCTCATGCTACCAGTAGTGACACTGACCCCAGCCAAATGCAAAACAAGTTGAAAACTGTCAGAAAAGATGTCAGTGGCCTCCACCTGTAAAACCATTCCTGTTTTGGGGGTCATCTCACTGTTGCCTATCTAGTGCACCTAATTAATTTTATTAACACCAAAGCAGCTGAAACGGATTAACAACCCCCTCTACTACTTAACTGGCCAGATCAATAACCCAGGAGTTTAATTGACTTGATGCTCTACTCTGATTAAAAAGTGTTCCTTAAATTTTTTTGAGCAGTGTATATTACCCAATAGGAGAAGAAAACTGATAAAATGAAAATGGATCTAGGGCAGATTAGATGTGTAAAGATTGTGTAATGCTTTCAGGCTTATTCATTAAAACTGCTGTTCATTTCCAGCAATCAGAATCCATCTTCTACTGACGCAAATTAAGTAAATTGAATTTTAATTGGCTTACTGCAGTTTGTTCTTTCTCCTTGCACTCTTAATTAAACTTACATATCTTTGGGTTTGCCCTATTATGTTTAGATTAATATATTGATTGCTTAAGAGATCCTGTTACCATCTCACATTTTTCATACTGCACAACGCAGTAAGAAAAGCAAAAATTTGTCTCGCTAATTATTTCAGTTTTTTTGTCAAAGTACTCTGTTTAGGCTGAGTTACAGATGCTTGATCAATGCATCTAAAATCAACATTTCTGGGAGTGCCAGATTGTTTGGATTCCCCGCTACTCAAGCTCCTGGTTGTTTCGTCAGTGTCTTGTCTTTCAGCTCTCAGCACAATGCAAACTTTAATGCAAACCCCATTGAAGTCAATTGGAGATTAATGTTGAAAATCAATTTTCTCAATTTTCAAGGCTAATAGTCAAGGGATTTAAAAAAAAGGGCATAGGGAAGTAGGAACTGCTAGGGAGAAAATTTACCAATGAAAAAAAATGTAAAAGTACTGTTCAGTGAGGAGCAGCTTTTTTGAACGCTTTATGACTGCATAACACATACTGTATATGTGGTGTTGAAGCAGACATCAAACCTGAGTGCTGTATATATATATATATATATATATATATATATATATATATATATGTGTATATATATATATATATATATATATATATATATATATATATATACTGTGTGTATATATATATATATATATATACGTTCCTCTGTTTTTGCTGGAAGCTCGCTCAAATGCATGCTCCCAGCACTCAGACTGGGCTGTTGCTGAGCCCTGGGTCTCCTACTAACGATTGGGACCTTGGAAAAGCAGCTGCTGGTTACATGATCATTGTGATAACATCTGACTGGTTAACACTGTAATCATTCACTCTATAGCCCCATACCAATGTTGTTCCTCCTCTGTGAAGAAGAAACTACAATCTTTTCCTCTAGTGAGGAGGAAAAGAGACATTGGGAAAAAAAGCCTGTTGAAAAATAAATAAATATTAACTAGATCAGTTCTAGTTCAGATCTAGTTTAGTGAGTGTTAGTGTCAGTGTAGGTTTCAGTATTAGTGTCAGTGTAGGTGTCAATGCTAGTGCTAGGAAGGGGGTGAAAGTGCCCGGTAGGAAAGTGGTTAATATTTATGTGAATGTGTAACTAGGGGCACTGTTTAAGGTTCAGGGAACTGTTAATCCAGCACTGCAGATAGTCCCTCGCTGGCCGATCCCATACCATCTCCTTGCAATTTTGTCAATCCTCTTCTGGGTCCTGAGAGAACCTGCTGCTGGACAGCTTATAGGAAGTGTCCATGTCAGAGACATGCACACTCCTGATGTAGACAAAGGAAGATAAAAAAACTCTCAGAACTGATCACCTGACTGTGGCTTTTGGTAGGTACAATGGACATTTAGATTATAATGTTTACTGCTAATAGGGGGTGAGAGAAATACATAAAGTATATGGAAGTTGATTTGCCTGCTAAAGGATTTTCATTTCTGCAGATCCAGTCCTGATAGACTTCACAGCCAAGTTGGTGATTTGTGTTTTCTCTGCTGCAGTCAAACAATAAAGCCAGGTAACCTCCCAGCCCCCATATTGTGACTGGACAGTGAACGAGCAGCAGTTTTTCCTCCTCTGCTCACTCTTCTCTCTTGTCCTGACAACACATCCGAATATTTGCATGGAGCACCCTAATTTGGCCCCTAGTGCTGCCTCTCTAACTTCCAGCTTGTAGTATAGGATACCACAGGAGGGCTGCTGCACAGGATACTACAAGTGACAGATACCATAATTTCAGGTACCCTAGAATAATTTTTTTAAAATTAACTTTATTATTGGTGATTTGTATATCTGCCCTCTAATAACACTGGTACTATTTAACAACCCCAATGCTTTATAATGCACGCTGCTCTTCTACTCTGATTGACTACCCATTGTTGTTGTTTAGGAATGGCTTGGCAGATCCAACAATACTGTCAGATATACTGTCCCAAGCGGGCAAAGCAATATCCCTGTGTTTAGAAGGACTTACATGATTACTCGCTCAGCACATTTGTAATACAAAAGGCTTTTCATGTTCACTGCAGCTAGATTTTTCGTTGGCAGTTGACTATGAGTCTGATCTCACCAAACCAATGCATTTTAGCATAATAACTGAAGGAGCCTGGGATTAGTTTACTATAAATATATGTCCCCATGCAAACTAAATCAAGTTTTGGGAAGAAAAGATTATACTATATTTCTAAAGAGATGCTTCTAAAGATTTGGCTATACTCTTCCTTTATGGCTTGTTATAGCAAAAGTGTTACAATTATCACTTAGACCCCACTGCAGTCAAGTTAAGATTTCTTTCATAAAATATGTAGAAAATGTGTAAGACCTTCCTGCACAAAAATAATTGCTAAATACATAAAATAGAGAAATGTACCATGCATGGGTATAACTACCATAAGAATTTTTCCACATCATCAAAATGCAGCACAAGGTCAGGAGGAGCGTGATTCGGTGTATTATGTATGCAAAATCTGCTAACAAAAATGTCTCCTCTTTCCTCTGTGTCTTACCAGCCAGAATACTTGTTTCATTTCCAAACTTGCACTGTAGAAATTACAGCTGGAAGCTGATTGGTTGGTTCAGGAAACTAGAAACAGAAGTGGTTAGCATATGTATTGTATTTTTCGCTCCATAAGACGCACCTGATCATAAGACGCACCTAGGTTTTAGAGGAGGAAAACAAGGAAAAAAATATTCTGAACCAATGGATTGCAGACATAGTACAGAAGATGACCAGAGACTACGGACATAGTACAGGAGACCAGAGACTGTGAACATAGTACAGGAGATGACCAGAGACTGCGAACATAATACAGGAGATGACCTGAGACTGCGGACATAGTACAGGAGATGACCAGAGACTGCGGACACAGTACAGGGGATGACCAGAGACTGCGGATATAGTACAGGAGATGACCAGAGACTGCGGACATAGTACAGGAGATGACCAGAGACTGCGGATATAGTACAGGAGACAACCAGAGACTGCAGACATACTAAAGGAGATAACCAGAGACTGCGGACATAGTACAGGAGATGAACAGAGACTGCGGAGATAATACAGGAGATGACCAGAGACTGCAGACATACTACAGGAGATAACCAGAGACTGCGGACATAGTACAGGAGATGATCAGAGACTGCGGACATAGTACAGGAGATGACCAGAGACTGCGGACCTTTGGGGAGCGGAGGGGGGGAGCGGAGATGACCAGAGACTGTGTACATAGTACAGTAGATGACCAGAGACTGTGGACATAGTACAGTAGATGACCAGAGACTGCGGACATAGTACAGGAGATGAACAGAGACTGCGGACATAGTACAATAGATGACCAGATACTGCGGACATAGTACAGGAGATGACCAGAGACTGCAGACATAGTACAGGAGATGACCAGAGATTGCGGACATAGCACAGGAGATGACCAGAGACTGCAGACCTTTGGGGAGCGGAGGGGGGGAAGCGGGTACCCGAATTTGACAGGTACCCACTCCAACGTCCACAGAGTTGTCCTTCCCTCTCCCTTCCTGTAGTCTTCTGGGACGTGTGGCAGGTCCCAGAAGACTACAGGGCCATTCACAAAGTGTAGCGCTTCTCTCGAATGTGCATTGAGCACCCAGCTGTGAAGCCGCAAGCTTTCACAGCCGGGTGCCCACACTAAAGATGCCGGCGACAGGGAGAGAAGACGGTGAGGACACCATTGGACTGAGTAACAGATAGGACTGCTGGAGGTCTGTAGGTTCTGCTGCACAGAAGAGCCGAGTGGCCGGCCCGGCATTCTAACACGGCGGACGCGGCGGCAGCGACGGGAGGAATACTCCATATTCCGCTCCATATTCACTCCATAAGACACACAGACATTTCCCCCCATTTTTTTGGGGGGGGGAAAGTGCGTCTTATGGAGTGAAAAATACAGTACATTATAAGCATTGACTCTGCTTGTTCTCTGGAAACAACTCAAAAATATGTTAGCACTTTGGTCAGTTTTCTTTTACATTCCTTCTAGCAAGACCATTTCTGCTCTCCACCAAGCCTCAGACTAGGCCTCCCAACTCTTTCCCTACCTATCATCGCTTCTGCACTTTTGAACACACATTCACTCAATTTTACACTTCACACATAGGGATAAGCACTGGGCACTTTGCGAACCTGGCAAGAAATCTGCCAGGATTCAGAAAACCTAAACGTATTCCCAAACTGGCCCCTTTTCATGGCTAATTTATTCATCTTTGTTAAAAAGAACATGGGTAGCTGGGAATTGCCATGGAGGGACATGACCCAATGCAATTTTTTTTTAAATGCTGCTCAGATGGGAGAGGATCTTTTAATGCAACTTAATCCTTTTTCACACATGAAAAACGGACACCCTAGAAAATAAAATAGTGGTAGTTCCAATTTTTTTATGTCACATGATTTTAGCGCAACAGTTTGTGAAATACAAATTTTAGTAAAAAAAATTTCACTAAAGCAAATGTAAGGGCACATAAACACAATATATTACCTATTTTTTGTAAAATATAAAATGTGAGGATGTGTTGAATAAATAGATACCCAACGTGTCAAGACTTAAAATTGCATGCACCTGTGAAATGGTGACAGGCTTCAGTATCCTATATTTTCCATAGATGATTATTTAAAAGCTACTACAGGTCCTCAGTATAGAGGAACAATGAATAACGGGTCTAGAAGTATTTCTTTCACTCCTGTGCGCGCAGTAATACGTAACATGTAGTGCAAGCAACATTTTCTTGCATAGGTGCCCCAACACGTGCACTTGCATGTATGTGGGAGTGGGGGGACCTAAACATTTTTGGGATAAGAGACGACTGGTGGCTGTCAGATAAAAATAATCCGGCCCCAATAAGAGGGTTAAAGGGCAACATTTAAAATACACAAACTCTTTAAATAACACATATCGAAGGATGTCTTACAACTGTATGTAAAATTTTAGAACAGTATGATTTAACCCTTTAAAAGTGACAACTTTGTTTACAAACAGTGGCTGGGGATCTGTAATTTAACCTCCATAGGAAAGAAGGTAAAACAAACCTTAAAGCGGAGCACCACCCAAAAGGGGAATTTCCGCTTTAAAGACTGCTCCCCCACTTTCCATTAAGGATTGGCACCTTTGGGGGGCAGGGTGGAGCAGGTACCTGAATTTGACAGGTACCTGCAGCAATCGTGCACACAGAGATGGATGCGAACCTCCATTTTGGTAAAGGATAGTCCATCTTGTATAATTATCTCTCTCTCCCTCTGTCCTCATCCCCCCTCCCTCTCTGTTGAGTGACATGTGGTCGGTGTGTGTTTGCAGAGATCACAGGCAACAAACTCAGTGGGAGGGCGTCCTGGCTATAAAACCTCACTAGCTAGGTGCCCCTCTGTCTAAGAAACTCTTGCTTGGAAAGGGATCGTAAAAGCGTAAAACGAGTCCTTCGCTGAGTTCAAAGACATTCCAGATAAGCCATAAAGCAGACATCACATTTAAGACCCATTTTCCCCTATGATTTCATATCTTGGATTATGAAAGACTTACACAAACATGGAGCACATATTCGGATGGCTCACTTTAATACAAATTGTTTGATATATTATATCCCTTAGCTGGGATCAACAGGAGAGCAGAAAATAATATCTTCTTAACCATCCCAGCAGGTATGTCATATTTCATGAGACATGTCTGCATATTAATCTACCTGTGGGTGGAATGTTACATGTACCTAGGAAAAGTTATTGACCAAAGTATAATTTCTGAGGGCTTTGGTCATAGCCTGAGGTCTCCACCTACAACTCCCTCCCCAAATGAGGCGATTGGTTCTCTGCTTCAGGAGACACCCTGCTGAGTTCCTAGATAAAGGCTGCGATGCTTGAAGTTAAGCTAAGCTGTGTGTGTGAGAGTTGAAGAAGATCTCCTGTTTTAACATTGAAACTGACAATGGGAGACAAGAAATCCTTTTGTGCTCATGAAACTTAAAGCTGCTTAAACCAAGGCTGACTGGCAAGTACTTTATCTATCTAATTTCCTTTCTGTTATCTCTTTGCTGTGCTATTGTTCTCTGTATATTTATATATATATATAGGCTATATCTTTTTCTGTAAATATTTTTATTGCACCCTTTTGACCTTTTAGTAATAAATCTTACTTTCTGAAAGTGTTGAACTGTTTCTAAAGCTCTTTAATGCAAATTACGAATTCCTGCCGCTGAAGAGCGCTACTGTGTGTATTTAACCCTCTGTATAACCTGCCTGCGGTGACAGTGGTATACAGACGATTATCCAACCATCATAGTGTTATTGCTGATATTGCAGAGTTTCCTCTTTCTCTGTACAAAAAGGAGGTGGTGGCAGTGTGAAGGGTTAATTGGGTAATTAACCTGACCCAGTAACAATCGCTCTCAGGCTGCCAGTACATCAATTGTGGTCCAGTGAGCTGGAAAATCTTTGTGCAGGGTGCAGCTGGTGTGGCATTGTTACATACGTGACATTGCGGTTTTAGATTGGCTAGTCCTTCGGTCACAAGTTTGGTGAGGAGGGCTGGGGTCTGGCGCCGTGATCGTCACAGTACCCGCTCCCATTTCCGCTACAATCACCTAGACAATCAGAAGTGGAAGGTGTCCTCCTTTCCTCCCTCCCCGTAGTCTTTTGGGACAGGTCATTTCATTATTATATTTTACTTTGCTTTATTGACTAGCGCTGCACATATTGTATATGTTTTAACAAGGTTTCTTTTGGTTTCCTTGGGTGTTCAGCTGCTTATTATTAGAGCGCTCACTTTTATTACTATTTTTGTACTCCAAATTTAGCTCTTCAATAGCAGCTGCTATGGACAGCACCAGAACCAGTTTGACAAACATCTTACACCCTCTCCAAGGTGTACATGAAGATTGTACAATTGTACAACAATCTTCATGTACACCTTGGGGAGGGTGTAAGATGTTTGTCAAACTGGTTCTGGTGCTGTCCATAGTAGCTGCTATTGAAGAGCTGCATTATGAGAAAGGCAGAGCCATTGCTGACAGCAGAGGAAGCAGTGAGGGAACTCCAGACCAGACCATACTTACCTTTAAAGGGGCCTCCAGTTGACCTACTGAGAGTGTTATCTCTAAATGCGCAATTTGATTGCGCATCTGGTGAGTGCGCAATCTTTACATTATCGGACACATCACCATAGTATTGGATAGATCACTAGCAACTGAAGATCATCATCACATCTTCCATACACCAATTTTTGTACATTGAAATTACTATACCAGCACTTTATTAAGCACCATTGGTCACTATATAGTGACAAAGATATATGTTGTCACCAAGTCACTTTATTTATTGTTATATTAGCACCTTGTTACACATCACTGGTCACTTTATTGAATATTTGCATATATATTCATCATTTAATTTATATGTGACTATTATACTTTGACACTTAGTATTATGCAGGGGCGGACTGAGCATTTGAGCACTAGGGCACTGCCCGAGGGCCCCGGGTCAGTAGGGGGCCCCATGAAATGCTCCTGTTACCTTTTTTTTTTTTAGGCTTTTTTGAGTGTGCTTTGAGTGTGGGCAAAGACACAGGGGACCCATGATCCCCTATTGCCCGGGGGCCCCATGAGTTGTCAGTCCGCCCCTGGTATTATGTTATGGTTTTAGCGCTGCACCCATTTTATATTGCTATGGTTAATGGATTGAGCAGGAAAGGGGCATTATGGGGGTGGATGTTTCTAGACAGATTACATTTGTATGAAGACCACAGCAGGAAGCACCCTCTTCTGACATAGTCTGCTTTAATAGATACCAGTGCTATACACTTGACTAAAAGTGGTGGGCAAATGACAGCCAGGCTGGAGAGCGAGAGGCTGGATGATGCTGGATGTCACCTGCCCCAAAAATGGGACAGAACGTATTTTGTAATACGCTGCTTCACTGTGTGTAAACCTGTGAGGGTTAAAGCTAAAGCTGAAATTTAGAGTCAAGTGACTTTATATAGTTGGAAGCTCTGATATTTCATTTGGTTAGACTCTAGCACCCAATCCACTTTTGACTAAATTAATACTATCAGCAATAGTCAAACAGTACTCTGCAGAAATGACTGTAAATGTTGATACACAAGTCTTGTTTCTTCTGTATCAGTATAGAATACTTTACCAATATACAACAGGTAGGAAGATAACACTTTACAATTTTTCCATAGAGCAAACATCTTTTTCTGTAATCCACAGAGTTTTTCTGAACCTTCTCCAGCAAAACGGCATTTGGACCTTGTGACCGCTGTACTTTTATTGACTTTGTAGAAAAGATTAGGTTTTATGCTATGTAATCTTAAATCATCTATATTCTCTATATCTTACTGTGTAACACCAATAAACTGTTCATGTGTTTGCTTTTATACGAAAGCCAGAAAATGCCTCTGGTCGTTGTGTTTTTCACTGAAAATATTAGAGGTGGATAACATATGACAAGTCCAATAAAAATATATAGAAAGAAATGTTT